GCGTGCGTGCGTGTGTGTGTATGCTTTTTTTCCCTTTTTTGTGGTAAAAATGGGGGGTCCGGACCCCCTCGACCCCCCTCTGGATTCGCCCCTGGGTTAGGGTTAGGGAGTAGGCGTAGGCGACATACTCGCCGACACCTCGGGTACGCCGGTAACGACCTCTTCAGACCCACTAATTCCCGTCACGTGTTGTGATGATTCTAATGGAAAGCTGATGCAATATCTATGAGATAAATTTATCTATATGCTAGTTTACATATATATATGTACGCGGAGAATGTAAGTGTAGTACGTTAGACGTGAATTTACTAAATTAAAAATGAATATTACATGATTATGTCAGCTACGTACTTAGTAAGCACAAATACATTATTGTGACGCGTGGAGAGAGAGCGAGAGAGCGAGAGAGAAGGAGAGAGAGTAAGAGAGAGAGATAGGGCGAGAGAGAGAGAGAGAGAGAGAGAGAGAGAGAGCAAGAGAGAGAGAGAGGGCAAGAGAGAGAGAGGGCAAGAGAGAGAGAGTGAGAGAGAGAGAGATAGAGAGAGAGATAGAGAGAGCGTGGGGGAGAGAAATACGGGCGAGAGCACAGAAGCAAGAACGAGATAGGTAAGAGAGTGACAAAGGACAAGAAGGCAAAAACGAGGGAGGGCGTGGAAAAAGATGGCGATTTCAATTTGATAACTATATTCATATACGATAAACGATAATGATATCAGCAATATATTGTTTTCCACCCAACCTCCGTACGACGTACATCCTTGTCAACCTTCATTCTATAAATGACATGTTCGTATTCATTGTCAGGAATATTAGGGTAGACATTATTTCTCGCGTATATTGAATAAAGCGATGCAAAATGTGTAAGTGTGATAAATGCATATTAGGTGTTTGGAAAAGGCTTGTATCGGGGGCACGACCATACTTGAATTACCGGCATATCGCTATGGCATCAATTAGCGCGCAGTGACATCTCTTTATCACGTATCTCACGCAACAAAATCTTCACACACGCGTTCCCACGGTTCCAGGAGAGTCGGTACTTGGTGGCGCACACGGGTGGGGTGCTTTCCCACGGTGCGTGCGCACGGGTGGGGTGCTTTCCCACGGTGCGTGCGCGCGCATCCTTGTCAGACTCCCTCTACCTTGTCAGGCTCGCTGTTTGTCCTGCGATACCAGGAGCATCACGTTAACGGGTCTATTGTCTCCGGTGGAGGTTTGATTGATGTTCACCGCCTAGCACACATCTATAGCTATACGCCGTAGAATAGACCTAGAACATATCTGTCACGTGTATAGATATGTTAATGCACGGACGTTTATGGTGTGTGGTCAGGGCAAAAGAAGGGAGCGAGAACCGGATTTTTGTAGGAAATCAACGGACATCTGCCATATTTAAAATGTTTGGTTTGTCCGACCAAGCAATGATTGACCCACGAAACCAAAATATGAAAGCAATGGGTGCAATTTCGCTAAAATTGGATCATTTATTATAGAGAAATATGCTCTCTTTTATTGTATATGTCATATAATTACATTATATATATATATTTATATATATATGTGTGTGCTTGTGTGTGTGTGTGTGTGTGTGTGTGTGTGTGTGTGTGTGTGTGTGTGTGTGTGTGTGTGTGTGTGTGTGTGTGTGTGTGTGTGTGTGTGTGTGT